GGGTAAAGGGTAGCAGCGTATGTGAAAAATGAAAATAAAAAACAGACCCATTGGCTCAAGGATGCTAGAAATCTTGCATCTCTCTCTTTATAATTAAGTGAAGGGTTCTGTATATAATGTATATTTCACTTTCAACACTTTCTTAAGTGCTGATTTTTTTTTTTACTCCTGGCAAGAGTTCTTAGAATTTTAGCATGAAGACTGACAACATGTATTTATAGAAAACAATCCACATTGTTCTCTAGCCAGAAAATAATCTCCTTTTCTTTAGTGCCTTTATTCTTTCTAATACACCAGTAATGATGAGAAACATGTCCAGTTAACCAATTGATTCCCTGCAGCTTTCTAGATATGAGAGATTACATCTTCCAGAATTCCCAGTGCAGCAATTGACTCGTTGAGTATTCTGAAATTTATGGTGCAACACATTTAGAAGGCACCATTAGGAAACACATTTTCTTAATCTGGGCACCATCCTGAAATGTGGACATCAGCTCTCAGAATTCCTAAATTAATTGGCCACTGCTGAGAATTCTGGGAGCTGAAATCCATACACCTAACATTCTGAATATTATGGCTTGAAGTCCAAATCCTTGACATTCCTGCACAGTATGTTTTAGGATACCTAATTTCTGCTGAATCCAATAAAAAAATGTAAAGTTTTTTGAATTTTTCCAATGAAATAGAGAAGCGTTCCACAATTCGATTTACTAAGTGGTATCTCAAATGTTTCATTATTGATTTATTTCAGTGAACCAATTTATCTTACAAACAGCAATGCAGAGCAATGTGCAACAGAGCTAAAAACAGTTTAGGTACATTAAAAATATATAAAAAAACCTAACAACGAATAATAGGTGAAGTGATGTTCAAATAATGGAGCCACCTCACTAGTTCATCTCTCTCCTGGGGTCCCCATTTATTCCCTGATTGTTATAGAATTATTTCACCTCTGATCCTGCAAACATACAGTATATCAATATACTTTCCCACTGAAAATAGCTATTTTCAGTCAGCAATATTTATTTCACTGAAAGGGGAAAATATTTAATCTTTACATACTCAAGCTAGTAAAGTGCTGTGCCCCCCCCCAAAAGCCCACACAGTCTTAGGCTGCATTAATAGAGGGATAGCATCAAGATCACGTGAAATGTTAATACCACTTTTTATAATGCCTTGGTAAGGTTACCTGTACTTTTAGAATATTGCATTCAGTTTTGGTCATCATGACATAAAAAAGATGTTAATACTCTAGAAAGAGTTCAGAGAAGAGCGACAGAGATGATTAGGGGACTGGAGGCTCAAACATATGAAAAACGGTTGCAGGAACTGGGTATGTCTAGTTTAAGGAAAAGAAAGACTAGGGGTGATATGATGACAGTGGACCATTAAATGAGAGGCTACCACAAAGAAGAAGGAATCAACCTATTATCTTTTAGCACCTGAGGGCAGGACAAGAAGCAATGGTTGGAATCTAATCGGGGGGAGAAGCAACCTAGAAATAAGGAGAAATTTCCTGATAGTGAAACCAATTAACCAGTGGAACGGCTTGCCTTCAGAAGTTGTGGGTGCTCTGGAGTCTTTTAAAAAGAGCCTAGACAGCCACTTGTCTGAAATGATATCGGGTTTCTTGCTTGAGCAGCAGACAAGAATACCTCCAAGGTTCCTTCCAACTCTGTTACTCTGACAAACACCTTCCCATTTAGGTCCTTGGGAAGGACTCAATAGGTGGATCATCATGCCAAATCGAAAGCAAACATCTAGCTGACTGAGTGACAAACTAAGGGACCAAATCTAGATCGCAGCTCTGTGTAAAAATGTCTTGATTGGGATTGAGTATGCATGGAAATGTGGGTAAATACTCATATGCACGCATTTTGTTGTCATTCTTCAGAGCACAGCAGTTCCCAATTATTCAGTGGGATGAAGTGCTGAAATGGGGTGGGGGGTGGGGCTGTTTGGCTGCAACCTCATAATGCAACAATTAAAAGAAGGCAATATAGTTATAAAAGGGTAACTTTGCAGAGCCTCAGGGACCGATGCCAAGAAAAATAAAAGATTCTGTCGTTTCTTCTGCACTGCAGTCACAAAGAGAACAGTGGTACAACTCACCAGGGTGATTCATTGATAACAGAATAGGTGACAAAGCTCCCAGAGGTTGGTGGGAAAGAATTTCTATAGGAGAAAACACAGTGAGGAGGGGGGGGGCATATATATATTTCTGGCATCCAAGAATGAATGATTTGTTCCAGTTCTGAACCCTCCGAGAACATTTTACAGTGTTTTGCTAGAATGGCTTCTCATTCATGCCCTTTTAATGACTTTTCACTTAATTGAAAGACAATATGCCAAAAATGAGTAACAACATAATTTTGATTCCATGATTGAATTTCCCCCTTATGGGGGGGAGGTGGTAGTGAGGGGGAGCCAATGATATTCCAGCAATCTCTTTTTTGGTCAAGTCATGGGGACCTATTTCAGCTGCTTAAAGGGCGTGCTTCCAAGGCGAAATTCCTGCCAAATGAGATTCTTTCTAAATTCCAGTCAATTAAAATACACTTAAAGGGCAGCCGCTTTGAAGCAAAACACAAAGCAAAACAACAACACAGACACACACACACACACAGACAGACACACTGCCTACAACTTTTGAAGGCATCATCACATGAAAGTCACTCCGCTTGTCAAACAAGATAATTAAAGTCACACATGGCTGTTATTATTTTTGTCCAAGGGGGTGGAATCTTTGCGCGGCGCCTGTGTGCAGTCAGAAACTCAGATGACATGTTGGGCACCAAGAGAAACAAAGGCAGGAGTGTTGGTCCCGGTGTCAATTTTCGGCTCTTGGTTCTTTAAACCATGTGCGTTTGGCTGCCAGCCCCCGGAGGAACTGCATACAAATATTGACAGAACACAGTGGCATTTGTTAAGCTGGAACTTGGGAAGTGAGCGATTAAAACTCTAGAGGAAGATCTTAGCACTTCAGACCTTCCCTTCTCTCTCCCCCTCTCCCCTCCACCCCTCATCTTCACAGCTTTCACAGAGTGAAAGTGAAAATGCTGAGCTTAGCCAAACAGGAGCGGTGACCTTTTCTTCTGACTTGCTCTAGGTAAGATCCGATTTCTTTGCCTTCTGCTTCTTCTTTTTGCCACAAGTTTTAAATCTCTTTCTAGAAGAGGAACTTCTTAAAACAAAAGATGGGGTTGGAGCGATGGTGGTGAAAGGAAGTGTTAATGTTTGCAATTTAATCTGAGAGGTGATGAGATTATCTTGAGCCAGGAGAGAGAGAGAGAGAGAGAGAGAGATGATATGTGCCAGAAACTATGCACCATCCAACATTAGTCTTACCTTTCCAAAGTTCCATTTTTAGGGGTTGAGAAGTTCAGGAATCTGAAAGGTATTTTAAAGATACCTTTTGACCCAGTAATGAAAACTTGTGAAATTCCCTTTGGATCTCCTCCGAATGGTCCTCAGCTGAGATTCTGAAGTTTATTGCCTGGTTTTACTTGTGAAGCTTTTATTGTTCCATGTGAGTAGTTAATCACTGTCTTAGTTTTAATGCCTGCTAAAGGCTTCAGAAAAACCTGTTTGACCTAAGGTTATTATTTAACTTGAATGGCTTTTGGATAGGGAAATATTTTCTTTATGACATATGGTACGGTGAAAATAAAATCCCTGATGGAATGACAGTATGGGATATTAAATAACTTCCATAACATAACTGAATATGCTATTCATGCTTTTTAAATGATAGGTTAAAAATGGCAATATTTGGTTAGTTTATTAATAATATTCCTTCCAGTTCTTCCATGTAGAAACCTTATTGTAGGTCTTGGGGTTTCTTGTAAGAGTGAGTGAGATGCTTTCATGTGAAGGAATTATGTTACCACAAGAGCAATTTATGTAAACGTCCTTCTCATTCTCTAATGTCCAAGTACCATTCAGTTTACACCAACCTGAAACATTTAAGAAACCTTTTGCCAAAATAAATTCTGGCACTCCGCAAAATAATATTTTTAAAAACAATTTTTCAACCAACTTCAACATGCGAGTTCAACTGTTTCTTTATCCTTTGATGTATTTTGGAAAACGTACAAATGCTAGCCTAACTATTAAAATCTGCAGTTGGAAGACTGGAGTGCTGTAAGCTTTCTTTTGACTGAATGTCATTTATTCATGAAGCTAGTTCAATCTGGTTCAATGGAACAGCTTGTTTCAGTCAGCACTATGCATCGTTACTGTGAAATGAAACCAGTTTTATAGCAAATGGTTATCAGCATAGGCTGTCCACTTAATGCTGAGTGATAGGAACAAAGAGCAAAATACCAATAGACAGAGAAACATGTGGGAATATTACCCTTAAAGATTCGCAATCTGGAGCCAAAAATATACAAACACCACCCCTCTCTCACACACACATATCAACATAAACAGATACAAAATGGGAAATGTTCTGACACTCAGTCCTGCTCTGCCAAGAAGCAGAGTGGAGATGTTATCTACATTTCTCTCTATTTCCCTATTTTTATCTTCATAATGCTTCCGTGATATATAATTGTAGTGGGGTTTTTTTTTTATGGTCTACTCTACAATCATCCGGTGAATTTCATAGCTGTGAAACTGAATTTGTTTATTCAAGCAGGACAATCTGTTCACTAGAGTCTGGATGAGTGACACATGGCCTGCTATACAGCATGGTCAATGATGTGGGGCAGTCAGAGATTAGAAGACAACTAGAAGATTGTGATTTGTTGCTTATTCCTACACTATGTTGATAGTTCTTAAAACAAAACAAAACCCCAAAAAGATGAAGACCTTTTTCCTTTTAGCTTGAAGAGCCCTAATTGATACTCTGAATTCAGTGATATAAAGGCCTTAGTTCCTGAGAATTATGTAGTGCAAATATGTCAAACAATGTTCATATCTTCCTGAATATAAACCTAAAGACCACACAATGGTGGATGGATAAATTAGGGGCTCTGTCTTTACCTTAATAAACAAACAATCTGCTAATTTCCATCAGAGCTAAGTAAAAATGTCGTGTCAGAGGACAACTGAAAGGAACTACTGTTCCAGAGGGATTTGTGAAGGTTTGTGCAGGAAAACCATTAAAAAAACCAAATGCCTCAAGCATGGCTCATTTATTTCAATATATTTGCTGGAAATTCTTTTTACTGGAAGATTGCTGATTTTTTTTTTTTTTGACAGTTAGGAAAGAAGCTTAGTAGACGGACACTGAATTTCTTTGAAGGTGGAGTGATTCAGTCTAGGGAACAAAATATCAAACATCCACCCTCCCTTCTGCCCAGCTTATGGGAAATCTACAGGACTTTGGCTAAAGTACTGATTATATAACAGTGGCTATCTGTTTTACAGCATGCTGAATATCATATAAAATGGGTGTCAAACTTGATTTCATTGAGGGCCACATCAGGGTTGTGTTTGATCTTGGGGGGCTCAGGGGGGCATGACCATTTCAACATCACTCATGTTGGGGGCACCTGTGGTGGCCCGAGAGCTTTGCCAGTGAAAACGGGTTTCCAAGCTCTGTTTTCAGCTGCAACCGCCTCCTGCAAACCTCTGCCAGTGAAAACGGAGCTTGCAAGGGCTACATGCAGCCCTCCATTTTCACTGGCAGAGGCACCAAGAGCCAGTCCTTTGTTGTTTCCGGGGAGGCCCCATGGGCCCTATCTAAGCACCCCATGAGCTGGATCCAGCCCCCTGGCCTTGAGTTTGACACCTTTGGTATAAAATGATATTAGACTTCCTGATGATCTTCTCATATTGGACAACTTCCTCGGTTCCTTGTTACTGACCATGCTGGGAGATTGCAAAGGGTTGTAAGATAACCTAAAATACAGCACATACATCTTATGTCATGAGTATAAGCTGCAGTAAATTTACAAAGATCCATTAAATAAGCAGCAGAAGCTTGTGTCTTTGCTAGGCTGGGAAACAAATAGGTTACAGAGAAGGGCAGGTAATGCTAAACTTTAAGGCACCAGGTTAAAAAATTAAAGGATACAATTCTAGAAACCTAAAATAGAAAAAAGGGGAAAAAAAGAAAAGGAAAGGAAAAAAACACCCTGGGAAAGAGAATTGTTTAAATTTGCTATAAGGAGGATGATTGACTGACTTTATTAAACAAAGAGTCTAAGTGGAGAAACAAAGGAAATAGGAAGTTGTGAACAGTCACATGATGACAGAAGTCCAAGATGCTGAAAGGATTAAAAAGTTATGGACAGAGGAAAAACAGCTCTTATTTATTTCTCCTTTTTGGATTTCAGTTTAGGAAAAGAGAAAAATGGCTACTACTGATAAGGCAGCAAAAGTTACAGAAGGGAGGACAGGACCATCTAAAGAAGGACATCAAATACATCTGAGACTTTACAAATGATGTTTGAAGAATTAGGGAAGAGTGCCACTGCATTATTGTCTGCATCAATGTACATTAGGCATCAGTTAGAAGAGACCTGGCTGCTATTGAAAAGAGAATCAAGGACATATTTACAAATATGGAAGAAAGCATGAACAAACAACTGGGAGAATCAGGAGAGATGAAACCAGGGGTCCCCAAACTTGGCAACTTTAAGACTTATGGACTTCAACTCCCAGAATTCTCCAGCTGGCTGAAGAATTCTAGGAGTTGAAGTCCACAAGGCTTAAAGTTGCCAGGTTTGGGGACCCCTGGATTAAACAAATCAAAGAATGTTTTTTGGAAAGTAATAAAGAAAAACAAATAGATAGAAAAGGATGTAGACAATGTGGCAGTGTTGGAATTAAGAGTCAAAGAATTTTGTTTGAGACTGAGGGCAGTTCCTGAATAACTTGATGAAGATATTTGTAGACTTTCTTTGAAAAAGCTAAACTTGTGTCTGTTAGTATTTGGGCAGTGCAAATCTTTGAAACTGATATTTTGAAAAGGGCAGGACAAAGTTGAAGAGCTCAGCAGATCTTCTCTTTACATTATCTTTACTTGGCACCGTGTTTGTCTCCATCCAGTCTGAGAGTTCTGGGCTTCTCCCATCCCAAGTACCGTCTTTCTGTGAAAGGACTACTGTAGCTGGGGTTGCTTTGGTGCACTATCATCTACAATTGAGGAAGGTTGGAGAATGTGGGCAAAGCAGGAGAAGAGAAGAAAAGGAGATAAAAAGACCGGTAGTTCAACATGGAACTATCAGTTCATGTGACTTGAAATGATCTAGTTAAGAACTAAAAACAATAAACCCAAGAACATACCATAATGAGCCTTGGTAGCACAGTACTGTAGGCTACCTCTGCTGATAGCCATCTGCTTGCAATTTGGCAGATCGAATCTCGGCAGGCTCAAGGTTGACTCAGTCTTCCATCCTTCTGAGATGGGTAAAATGAGGACCCAAATTGTTGGGGGCAATATGCTGACTCTGTAAACCTCTTTGAGAGGGCTGTAAAGCACTACAAAGGGGTATATAAGTGTAAGTGCTATTGCTATAATAGCTTGAGGCTAGAGACAAGGAAAGGAAACATACTATAACTAAACGTTGTTTACATCCTTCTCTATTCTGTCTTCACACATCCATATATTCTTTTTTTCTTTAAATCCTCACCTCCCTTTTTATGAGGATCCTATCAGTTCCATCCAAACTTGACTTCCTTAGTCTTCCCTTTTCTTTTGACCTGTTCCCTCTTCCTTCAATTATTTGTTTTGCCATTTAATTGTTTTTCATTTTATGTGACCAAATTCCTACAACATAGTTCTTTCATACCAGTCAAAATTTGTGTATTTATTCCACTTCCATTCATCACCCATTCTTTCCTGATTCACTTTCCTAATGCAACCTGCAGTTTTAGGAAGACATTTTTCTTAGTCCTCAGCATGAGAAGGATTAAGTTCTCCTGTTTGTGTTTTACTATCACTATTTAGGAGGTGCTCCCAGAGCTGCTAGTTATTTACGGGGTTACTAAGGACATAAATTGCATTTATATTATTTTAGAGTTTGCTGTGATGATGGAATTCTATCTGGAAATGAACATCAAGTCAACGGCTGCGTTTAGAATAATTAAATTAGCCACCCAGAGTTATTCAGTTGAGATTGGTGGCCATGTAATTTTAGAAGTAAAAAAACAAAG